AACTGCTGTGTATCTAGAGCCTGGGCTCTGTTTCTTAACCAACTTCTGTAGCATGCTGCTATCAGTGAGGGGTTTAACGTGCTCGAACAGTGTTCAGTGTAAATTGAAAGAAGGTAGGAAGAGGTCACAGTCCAGCTCTGGCTCATTCTATTATTTTTATACGGTACACAAAAGCCAGGAGGCGTGCAAGGGGCTCCTGCTTGCAGGAATCACGCTGAAGTGAGGTATTACTGAGACACACACTGACACACTTGTCTGGATGCCTCCAGCTAACTGTGCATGACCTGCAGAGGACCGCTGCCAAGGACCAGCTGAGTCAGTCCCAACACCACTCTAGTGTAAGAATTTTTATTTGCCTGTTGCAGTTCCCTCGTGCTGGAAGCTGCCAGCTCAAGTCCTCAATACCATCTGAATTTGGATGGAGAAGCCAGGAGATGCAGCTTGAATTTTTCATTTTTCTTTACATGTGTCATTGGTGAAATTGCATGCAAACACTTCCTGCTTCAAAATCACACAGATCTTACAGAGAAGAGGTGTTTTCAATGCCTAGTCAAGCACATGTGACTTTTAATATTTATCTTTGGTCATAAGTTTAGCACAAAGCTCATGACCCCTGCCATGATTTTTAACAAAAAAGAAACAGAAAATAAGAGCTCCTCTACATATCATGCAAACTTAAAGCCATCCTCTCGTAAAAATATCAAATATACTAGTAAAGAAAGTGTTAAAAGCAAGTAGACATTACCACTAGCATCCTTCAATTTAAATAGAGAGCTTGTCAGCATTAAGAAGTAAAATACGTTTTAGTTTATTTGCAGCTGATGACATTTTTAATCATCATCAGCCAAAATACAACCTTTGTAACAGCAGGTCTGGCAACTCCCCACCAAGGATTCTTGAAGAACGATGTTTACTATTGGTGTTCACTTAGCATTAGGAAATATAAACAGCACTAAAACACAAGGGACCAGAAGAGCACTTACGTTGCACCAGCATTGAAGGAGGACACGAAGAACCACCATGTAGGCAGAGCAGTCTGAATTACCCAGGGCAAAATACAAGAAAAACCAGCAGGGCAGGAATGAATAGGCTCAAGAGGTTTTTCATTTACCTAATTTTTTGGTAAGATTATGTTTTCTTAATCAAAGAAATCTGTAAGTAACAAATGTCACAAATTAATTGTTAGAGAAGAACTGTATTTAGCAGAGGCACTTGGAGAACTGCCAGGAAACTTACCAGGTTTAAAACTATTTCACATTTTCTTCAAAGATGTGTAAGCACATATAAACTCATTGCTAATTATATTTGTGGACAACCCAACAGGTGACACTGTGGTGAACAAAAGAACTAGACCATCACGTAAGAGTTCTGGAATAGCTCATAAAGCACACTTTTCAAAATTACTATTATTTTTAAATAGCCAAATCTCAGGCTATACATTCAGGAAAAGAGCACAAAGCTGTACCTTGGGAAAACAAGCCACACACTGGGAAAACATCAGACTGAAAAACCACTGACTCTGAAAAAGGCATCAGGGTCACAATGGGCAAGGAATTGAAACATGAGATCCCAACTTAACACTTCGACAAATGTGATATCCACCTTGGAAGCACAATCCAAAGAAAGCAGGGATTTTACCTGTATGTAGACCAATGAAAAAAACTGTAACAGGGTTTTATCGCCTTCTTAAAAGAAGATTACAAATTTGTGAAGGGACTAAGGAAGACAGGCATAACACAAGATTTTAGGAAGTCAATCCATGCATTTCACTGAGAAATATTAAGAGCATACTTTTTTTTTTTTCTTACTTTCAAATGCATCCCAGCAGGAAAATATAAGATACTGATCTCTTTTGTAGAGCCATCCCCTCTTCTTTTCCCATAAGTGAAAGCTGAAGTCAAATTCTAGTCACAAGACAGACATGCACTTCGAACACAGGGATTACTAGCTACTAAAATATACTATCAAAAGAAAACATAATTAGATTTTAATGCCCTTTTCAAGAGCCAACGCCTTTCTCTGGCATAAAAACCTTCAGAGAAGGTCAGACTAGATGAAGGGTGTCAAACTCTTACTTTAACCACTAATATAAAGCAGGAAGGAACCTGAATGTCCAGTCTCAGCTGATAAAGTGCTTTATGTAGTTTCTGCCTTTATATGCAAAATTTTACACATCAGTTCACCATCAGCACACTATTCACCCTCATCTTTCTCAGTTCGTCAATGATCTGCAACTTGTAACAGATTTCTTCACACAAAGATTTCCAGAAACTATCCTGCTATGCCCATTGAAGAGGTGTGGCTGACACAGAATCAAAAGCTTACGACAAGCAATAGCTAACACATATTAGACCTCTCTTTTCCATCATCAAAAAAATATAAAAAATTCCTGTCATAAATTGACTTAGAAGTTTATATTCTTCACAATAATGAAGGGCAGCACGATTTTACAGTAGCACAGTTTATCTTTAGAATTTATTAGTTACAAGCCAATTTCTATATTTTCTATTTTTCCATAGTTCCTTTTAAAGTACTAATACTTCCTCTACCATGGCATAGAAATATGCACTTTTTAATAAAACCCAGTAGTATACTACAAGGCATAAGACAAAATATCAATATATTTAAATAAAAGCAATATCAGTATAAGCTTATATTATATATTGATATTCTTATCTTAGTGCTTCTTCCTCTTTCAATATTTAAGGACATTATTAATGAACCTACTGCAAGTCCTGAAAATAAATCTAGTCCCCTTCAAGAAGCTGCTCTCTATGTTTACAAAATTTTCTTCCTACAGACTGTCAACCAAGTCACTGGGGAGTGTTCTACTTACAGTAATATCTAGTTAATGGTTTTCTGAAGATATTTCCAAACAAACAATGCCAGAGACAGAAAATTCAGCATGCACATTTGGAAAAAGAAAAGTAAGAAATGATCTTAAGGTTTCTGGTTACTATTCTGTCAACTACAGTTTAAGACTGGAATTAAACTGTTGTGCTCTTCAGCTACAGACAAGACGAGACATATTTAGAATAAATACACATATTCCAAATGACCACATATCAAGTGCTAGGGGAGCATGAGTACTTGTGAAATTCATCATGTCAACAAAGCTGCTACGGTTCTGTATTTCTAAGTTTTCCAACCACAGATACTGCTTACCACCTACATTCTGTGGCTGCACTTTTAGATGATTTCAATTTAATGCTCTTCTTATGAGCAGAAGGTGTCAATCTAGTTTGTTCCAGGCTTCCACTGAAAAAATAATATTATTTTAAAAGCCTGCTTTGAAAAAAAGCATCTCACCCAACTTGCTACTCTCCAGAAACTTAAAAGTGAAGAGAGAACACATAACCAATTTCTTATTCCACCCAGTGAATAATGAAGGTCTTTAATCAGTAATATAAACTCACACCTTCTGGAAGCTGAAGAGGGTTTTTTAAAAGATACTTTGTCTTTCCTTTTAGAAGGCATAATTTAAATAATAAATACATGATCTTTGTTAAAACGCCAACCCCCTTCACTCACTTCAACATATGTACACATAGGCCTTCATTAAACAGACTCATATGCTTATCACTTCATATTAATTGAAAGAACAGAGTTAATGACCTAAAGAATTTTCAGAGTAAATGTCTATGGCATATTTCTGCAGTTCCACAATATGTGTTTACAGCTATTTAAATACAAACGTGTTTGCAGGACCGGACCACAGAGAGGACACGTTAATTGACGAAACCAGATGTAATGACACAGACAGGTCCTAACCCTGACGGAGCTGCAGTCCGCGATGTCAGTCCTGACAGCATTCAGCACCCTCTGGTTCTGCCACTGCGTAAAACAAATGGGAGTAACAAGTGCAGCAGGGAAAGTTGTACTTATTCAATATGAATTATTAGCACTGCATGTATTTCTGATTCTAAACCCAGTATGGGTCTTTTGGAGCCATGTCAACCGTTTGTCCTTAGCAATCCAATTTCACGGATTCAAATACACTGCAAGTTCCATCTTGCAAAATCTACCACAGAATAGAAATATGCACTTTTTAGTAAAACCCAGTAGTGCACCACAAGGCATGAGATGAAAATATCAGTATATTTAAATAACAACATTTATGGTATTAGGAATAAAACTAGAATCAAATCTATAGTATCTATGGCTTTCCATTAATAAAACAAATTATTATTTTTCCCACAAGAAACATTAATATTTCTCAAGTACAACAGTGCTCAAAGTCCCAAGACAATTATATAGGTAGTCATTTTTAAACAGAATATGATGTTACACAACACTGGAATTGAACAGTGATAGTCTCTTGAGCAAATCAGTATTTTGATACATATTATAGGTATTTTTATACTGTCCTAGGTAGTTAGTGAACCACTAGGAAGTTTTTACAGTAACATTCTAGTGGATCGAATAATACACATATTCTGTTAATTATTAAATCCTTAAATGTCAAATAGCAAACACTGAATTTAACACTTGATCTCCACTGGATTCAAGCCAATTACTAAAAACAACTCTAACTAGCTGTCTCTCTATGATCTGTTGTCTGTCTGCTCCTTTCCAAAAGGAGTTCCTGCAGAACCATTAGGTGAGGCTTAGGGATTATGGCCAAGAAAGGAACACAGATCACCTGAACCATCAAGCCTACAGGCCCCTGCAGCAGAGCAGACCATGGGAGAGCCCTTGAAAGAGACCATGGAAGAACCAAAACCACATAACATTCCCACTCTTCTCTCTAACTGACATTTAAATACCCACCATATGGCTTTTTATTTATTTTTGCTCCCTTTTGTTTCCCCCATGGAGAAGGCTTGTGAGTAATACTTTGAAATTAGAGTGCTAAGTTAAGAATACTCTTATAGCCATAATTTTATAATTTTTGGGTATGTAAAGAGATAATATGGTAACTCGGCTGTGGAAAACAAGGGACGTTTACAGCACTTGAACAAAGGAACTAGCTTCCATATAATCAACAGAACACAAAAATGTGAAATCAATGTTGATTTATAACTGCAAAAATAAGGTCGTACACATACAAGGAATATAAACATTCTTTGATCACAGAACAGTTGCTTAAGACAGACAGAATTAAATAATCAACATGCACTCATTCACTGAAGTAATCACTTTTACAAACAGTAAGTGTTTCATGCATCTGTTCAGACTAAATGTAAATCAGACACCTGGCTATAAGCTTCAGCCAAGAAGTTACTATGACACTCTCTCCTCTCACTGTTTCCTAATCTTGTTTCTAATCACCTTGTCTGAAGTTATTTGAGTTTCCACTTGTAAAAGTTACATTACCATTTATTTTTTAAAGGCTTCTAAAAGGCAGGGAATGATGGAAAGATATTGAAAGAAATAAAAACAAATATTCCTTTGGAAAAAAGTTCTGAATCAGAACCAGTTAATGTTGACCATTGTCACAGTTTAAGCACTGTTACACCCATAAATCCTACTTCCTTATCAGTGTGGGAATGAAAAACAGCATCACTCCCATCTATTAGTGCAGATTTACTGGGCAGCAAACCTACTGGGGAGGAAGCAACTTGCACATACATTTTACAACCTTGATCAACTTCTCACCTCTGAAAACAGTTCTGTCTTGAGATATCCTCTGGGATACCAGTCTGCTAAGAAAATTCCTCCTCAACACATCAAGTGAACTCCCAGTTCCATATCTTCTATTATTTGTAATAGCAAAGCTTGAACGGAATTCACAGTAAAGTCACAGAAAACAACTTCACTTCAAAACAGAATGATAAATTCTGCAACTTATTCTGGATTTCACATATTTTATTTCAAATACATGACAGGTACCCATTTTGGCCATAACTTGCAGCTTTAGGATTGCCTTCTTTTTAAAATTTAAATGCACATCCAGGTCAATCTATCAGAATACTCAGGAGCAGGTATCTTCCACAAAAACACTGCATGAAAGGATATAGCAGGTACAATCTTCTTACTTTAGTCTCTGTTTTTTGTAAAGTGCTGATGAACCCTGAATTCCCATGGTTAGCTCTCTTGATGAAGACTTCAGTATCCCTTCCTTCCTCTGAATCTTGCCCTGGTATCCAACTGAAAATTGAAGTCAATATATTAAAAGCAGGTATTTAGCAAAAGAAATGATTTAGAGTGCTTGTGCTACCTTGGCACTTAGTAACATCAGAACAAAAGTCAGAATAAAGCAGAAGGCACTGTAAAGAAAACTAGTGATGTAGCCAATAAGGCACAGGGTGGTTCTGATGAAAGAGACACTAAATTATCTTATCTCTCACACAAAAATTAAAATTATATGACAAACATCCTGTGCATTATGAAATAAACAGCGGAACAACACAAATGACAAGAGCAGGGTAGCAGGATGTCAAAGAACACATTAAAACAAGGTAGTGTAAGTCTGCTTAAATCAGTTTTTTCAAATGTAACTGATAAACTGAAGGAGGAAAATTGAGATTTGGTCAAAGTGGGAGTCACTACAAATGTCCAAGAGGAGAGGGATAACTTAAATACAAGAAGTGTCTGGAAAAAATAGAAATTATCAGTAAAAACTGAAATAATATTCAGCTTCTAAAATGTATAAGTTTATTCTTGGCAGTTACAAAAAAAAAAAGATTTAATGGAAGGCTAAAGATGACAGTAAAGCTAAAATAAAAGCTACACTGCAGCACTTACAGAAGGTAAATTGCAATTTCTTTCCCAGTGCAGCAGAAAAACATACTTTGATCTTGGGAGAATTCTTCTGAATTTAGATAGTCTTGAAGATGGCAGCGACAGATTGCAACTCAGCCATATTCAGATATTAGATTGAGGAGGCTTCTTTTAACTCCATTAACTGACTCTCTTCCACAACTCAGAACTGCAGTAAAATTTGTAAAGAGCTCGACTACATGATGACATAGCTTATCCAATAACTTGGCAGCTTCCACTTTTAATCATGTTCCTACTTAAATATCTAAAGGTTACTGAAGCTTACTACACTAATAAGACATTCCATTTCCTCACAAAGAAAACAGCATCTAGGAAAAATCCCTAATCATTTTAGACTATTGTAAATTACATTTGCATCTAGTGTCTACCTTGGTTTTGGACACTCTTTAATCCTCACTATCATAACAAATAAAAAATTTGGCAGGGCCCAATTATTGAAATTTACAGAATTAACAGGACAAGGAAAAAAAATAGGACAAGAAAAAAAATTCGGGACAATTAAATAGAATCATCTAAGAGCCAGGCCTCTCCCCACATGACTGGATACATTCAGATTGCAATTTAAGTTTTATGCTGCCTTAACAATCCAGACAAAAATACAGGCACATCACATGTATATATTGCTACTACAGCACCATACAGGTATTTCAAACATTTAATACACAGCATTTTTCCTGTCTGTAGAAATAATAATTTGTCACTATATGGATTAATATGGTTCATATAGGAGAGGTACAAAAAGCTGCAATGACTAACACAGAATGGAAGAAAAATTTTAGGTACCATTTCAGCTGTGCACTTTTCATTATACATCTTATCAGCTAAAAATAAAAATTAGCCCTGCACAACTCATGCTTAGAAAGTTTATCACATCTTAACTATCTTTTAAATATCATGGAAACACTGGAAAGACATTTCTGTACATGGAACTCCTATCAAAATAGGGGAAACTTTATCTAGTTACATTTTTGTCAGTATCATATGGGATAGTTAACTATATAAAAAACCAAACTGTTAGTTATCACGAATTCAAGTACTCCAAGAAAATTAATGACTCAATGTGAATTCAATGCAAGATCCTGATTGAACAGTGGAAGTCTCATTTAATTTCATTTCAATGTTCTCTGTACAGGTTCTCTTCGGATGACCTTGCAGACAAAAAATGTCTTGTCAATATTTTATCTTACAGTTACCTGATCTTCCAGAATTTTTTTAATCCAAAACTTCATTAAAAACAATAGTAAAAATACCTACCTCATTACCTGTGACATTCAAAGCCTAATTCAATATAAACACATTTTTCCAGTTTTTCATACTCTACAACTTTTCCTTCATGAGAACAATCAGAGTTTTTCTATACACGAACATCCATATTTTAAATAGGATTCAAAGGCAGGAGCTGTTCTTAATGACATCAACTTTACTGAATTAAAATGGTTTTCTTCAAAAAAGCGGGAAAAGGACAGAAAGCATCCAGGCCACTGCCACAAGACACGCCACACTTACCATTGATCTTTTGCATGCAAAGAATGTCACTTGCAAACTCCTACAGTGTCCTTCCCTCAAGCATTGTTTAGGGCTTTTGTTTTCCTAGTAGGTGAAAAATAAAGGATTAAAAACTTGATCTCTGCAGCTCGCCAAAGAAACACCAAAATACTTTCTTAGAATCACTGAGGTTTAGGTCGGAAGGGGACCTTGCAGGTCACCTAGTTCCAACTTCATACAGGGTTTACTGGGCATTTCGCCCCGCTCTGATGGCCTGCGCTTTCCCCCTGGAGCCGTAATTCCCTGAGGCGCTGCACACGGGAGCGAGCAGGCCGGGCAGGGGCGGCGGCGCTGACCTGCAGCACGCAGGGGCTCTCCAGGAGGCACTGCCGCAGGTCCTCCCGCACGCCGCCGCAGGCGCGCCCGTCCTCCTCCTTGTCCTCGTAGTACTTGGGCATGGCGCTGAGCCCGGCCCTACGCGCCGCTCCCGCTGCCGCCCAGCCTGGCGACACCCCCGGCGGCCTCCGGCATGCCGGGCGCTGCAGCCGCTTCCGGAGGCGGCAGGAAGGGACGGGGCGGCTCCGGGAAGGATCCCGGGCGCCTGCGCTGCGGACGGTGCCGGAAAGGCTGCGGGAGGCGGCGGTGGTGGTGGTGGTGGCGGTGCCGGGCGGGGTCGCGGCGCGGGCCGGGGCAGCAGGTGAGACACCCCCCTCCACCCCCCCATACACACACACACACACCATCCCCGGCGTGGAGCGTGGGGCGTTCGGCGCCTCCCGGCCCGGAGCGGAGCGCGGGTGTCGCTGAGGGAGGGCGGGTGTTTGTTAGCCAGGCCGCCCCTAAATCGTGGAAACGTGCGGTGTTAAGGGCTGGAAGAGACCTTCAAGATCATCTAGTGTCAACCCCCCCGCCATGGGCTGGGACACCTTCCACCAGACCGGGTTGCTCAGAGCTTCATCCATCCTGGCCTTGAACGCCTCCGGGGTTGGGGCATCCACAACCTCCCTTGGCAACCTGTTCCAGTGCCTCGCCACCCTCACAGTAAAGAATTTCTTTTTAATATATAACCTAAATTCTCTCTCAATTTGTACCCATTACTCCTTGTCCTATCGCTACAGTTCCTGATGAAGAGCCCCTCTCCAGCTTCCCTGTTTTCCCTCCTTCAGATACTGGAAGGTTGCTATGAGGTCTCCACACAACCTTCTCTTCTCTAGGCTGAACAGCCCCAGCTTTCTCAGCCTGTCTTCACAGGGGAGATGCTTTAGCCCTCTGTCAACTTCATGGCCTCCTCTGGACTTGCTCCAACAATTGTCATTGTTTATACTCATGCTCAGTTTTTGTCACTTCAGCACTGCAGGCAGGGCCTGCATCACGTGATTTTATTTGTAGCCCTCACTATATGCAAAGCCAAACGCATCTTTTGAACCTCTTTACTTAGAAAGATGCTGCCAACCACCTTGGTTAGTTCTCGGAGCCAGGGCAATGGTGTGCTGAGCCCCAGGGATGCTGCGAGACACACGGCCGGAGCGAAACGCTACAAGTACCTGCGGAGGCTCTTCCACTTCCGACAGATGGACTTCGAGTTTGCGCTTTGGCAGATGCTCTACCTGTTCACTTCACCACAGAGGGTTTACAGGAACTTTCACTATAGAAAACAGACAAAGGACCAATGGGCGAGGGACGATCCCGCCTTCCTAGTACTGCTCAGTATCTGGCTCTGTGGTGAGTGCAGGAGAACGGACAGCGCAAGGGAGAGGGAGGGAAAGTTTAGGGATAAATATTCATTTTTCTTCCAGGAGCATGCAAAAAAGGGACCAGTCCATGAGGATCACCTTTTAGTCAAAGTAGAATAGAGGGAAAGGACCTAACCTTTTAGAATAAGTTAAGGTGGGAATTAGAAAATGGAATAGGCATAACTAAAATTGTGTAGTCTGGAATTGATCTCAGTTGCAACTCATTTTCTGTTGCATTTTAAATTATGCAGTTCCCTGTAACTTTAAAGACAGTAACAAAACCCCATACCACACAGCAGTGCTTTACTTAAAAAATACTGAATATTTGGTTTACCAGAGCATTACAGATAAAATACTGTTTTTCCATAAAGGTCCGAGTGAGATTCTGTATATTGCAGAATTAAGCTATAAACAAAGCGGCTCATGTAAGTGACTGAACTGCAGATTCAATAAGTATTATCCCAGTTGTCTTCTGTTAAATAGCATATTGCTATTTGTAATAGCAAAAATATTTCATATAACTTTGAAACAAAACTATGAATGACCACGCACATGGTTTGGGTTAACAAAGAGCTTTTCTAAAACAAAGAATGTTCCATTGTACCATTATGTGATTTTTTTTAAAATAGTTTGAGTGGAGCAATACAATTAAGCCCAAGTACAGATGAGTGTTCAGTCTGTGAGAGGGATAATATTATGAATAAATTGCATTATATCTATTTTTTGGTGGGAAAAAATGAGCTGTTGGACTGAAAATCTTGGGAGAAAAAATAAAAAAGAAAGTGGAGATTTCATAACAGTATATTGAAAGAAACTCCGTCAGTTTAAGATCTAATGCTTTCTTTTGACAGCTGACTTTAATAATCTTTTTCTGCGTTCAGTTTCTACTGTAGGATTTGGATTTGTGCTGGACATGGGGTTTTTTGAAACAATAAAGCTGCTACTTTGGGTTGTATTCATAGACTGCGTTGGCGTTGGCCTCCTAATTGCAACTCTGATGTGGTAAGTAGTGATTTCTGAAACTGAGTTCAGTATTGCTATTCAGACATGGAGAGTCCTCTGCTGTTTGCGAGACACTTGGCTCTTTGTTTAGGGTAAAGGTATAAAGCAAGTATTGCCTATAAGTTTTGTGCTATTGTAGTAATTGTTTCAAAACGTTGCAATAAAAAAGAACTCACCTCTTTCTTCACTATTTCCTGCAAAAGATAAAAAAAATCAAAAAGTGTGTATTATTCCAGCTTCTTTTCTTTCTTCTGAGCTGGTTAATAGTCAGCAGTAATGCCAAATAAGAAATTTGTTCAAAAAAACCCAAACTGTTCAATCAGAATAATGAATGAAAAAATTAGGTGATGTAAGCCTGAGGATGACGGTCTTTAAGCCCATGCTTCTTGCTGAAGATTTTAGCAAGTGCCACGACAAGCCACATCTGTTCTGTCTCACATGTGGCAGCTTCGCTGCTTTGGTGGTACTCGCTGCCGGTTTTATCCTCTAGTGTTCAGGGACTTGCAGAAGTGGAGAGGCAGGAGCAGGTCAGTTTACAACCCAGGCCTCAGCACCGTGGATATGTCCTGCAGCAATGAGGAAGCCATGAAACAATGGGAAGCTGCTGTTTCTCTGCTGCGGCAAAGGGAGGGCACCAAAGAAAGTTTTTTTATTTTACCAAGAACTTAAGAAAGTAAAGGCAATAGAAGAGTTCTTAGTGATGGAGCCAACATCTTAAACTGATGCTGATTGGAAAAGGGATAAATTCCTTTCAAACAGTGGCCTCAGGAACTCCTGCTTGTAATTGCAAACTTGAGAATGAGGCAAATACAAGCACTGTAGCTTGTAGATGAAAAGTCCATCTAACCTATGCTCATGTCTGGGACAGCAACCCATAAATTGCTTGGAGAAGAGCTTTTAGTAAAGCTCTCTTCTCCCAGCCTGCTATTCTCTAGCAATTTGTGCCTCAGGGTGCAGTGTCCTGAACCAGAAGATTTTCCTCTGTCTTTTAATTGGCTTCCTGCCAGCCTCAATACTAGTCATCTGGCTCCAGTTTGGTTCAAGTCCCTTCTTCGAGTGAAGGCTCACCTTTTTTTCCAAAAACTCTCCCCATTCTTAATGAGACTAAACCCCTTCTTGCCTTGCCTCATCTCGCCTTACCCCCAGGCTCTGCCTCCTTCTGACCCCACCCTTAGCACAAAGAGTATGCCAGAAAACTCATGAAAACTCTGGTCTCTTAACTTATATCTGAGCGTGTATTGACTTCTTGTTCCTCTTCTAAATGTGATAAATTTTCTGATGTCAGCAGAACTTAAACTGAAGCACAGTCCTGAGGCTTATTCCGTAGCCTCTAACACCAGGCAGTGCACATTCCATCTGCACTTCTCTTCAGTAAGAATGGCTCGTGTTATGAGCACTATCCAGCTCTCCTCCCGTCTTTGCAGCGCACCAGTTCTGTGGAGATGAAATAAGCCATCTCTGTGTGATGTGTGCTGATCCTGTATGGGCACTTCACTGAAGTTGTCTCCCTGTGCATACAGAGAGAAGTCGCAGCTGGTGGCTGCATTGATAGATTGTAGCGCTAATTTCTTTAAAGAAGCCTTTTGTTTCTGTATTACTGGAAGTGTAACACAGTGTTACAGCTGTCTGTTGCTTGCAGGGGATGTAATCATAGTTTTAACAAAAACATTTTAACGATATTCTGGTCTGCATGATTCTTGCATTTTTTTTCTCCCAGATAGCAGACACTTTGGTGGAGAACTGGAATTGCATATGACAAGCTATGCCAAACCTATGTTTTGATTGTCAGCTTTATAGATTCACATTAACAGTAGTCTCAAATATCTTTTTACGTAGGTTCATTTCTAACAAGTACTTGGTGAAGCAGCAGAACAGAGACTATGATGTGGAGTGGGGATATGCCTTTGATGTGCATCTGAATGCTTTCTACCCACTTCTAGTAATTTTGCATTTTATCCAGCTGTTCTTCATCAACTGTAAGTAGAATACTTTGAGCTTTCTGCTTCAAAACGGTGCTCTATCAAAACAGCTGAGAGCAGTTATCTCTTGCAGATGTCATCATATCTGACTCTGTCATTGGGTATTTTGTTGGGAATACATTATGGTTGATTGCCATCGGCTATTATATCTATGTGACATTCCTAGGATACAGTGGTGAGTAACATCAATTTCTTTTGTATTTATCAAACAGACTAAAAACAAAAGAATGTTTTCAGTCTATTCATTTGATCTTTTAGTTATTATTTTGTAGTCTATTAATTTGTAAAGCAGAGGCACAGCTGGGTGCTGACGTAATTCTTTCCTTGTGGTAAAAGTTTGAGAGAAATTTACCAATCTGGATTTTCAGCTGAGTGTACATCTTAACCAGAGAATTTGTATTCTCCACTTTACCGACTTCCTTTCTTGTACTAGACCTGTAGCACCACAAATTGGTTTTCTTGTTCCTCTGTAAATCCACTTCAAGATGTTTGCATTAGGTAAAAATTCTTTAATGAGTTTAAGGCCGTAGTTTTCGGTAAAGCAGTTTCAAAAACCATTATGTGGTAACAGTAGGACTAGTAGGGCAGAGATGTCTGAGGAGGACAATAGAGCAGAACTGTTTTTTCTTGCTGTCTTGCCCCAAGGCCAGTCCACATGAAGCACTTCTTTTAAAGAGCACTACTTTATACTTGCTTCATTGTTGCTTCTGTTTCAGCATTGCCCTTTTTGAAGAACACAGCTATTCTTTTGTATCCCTTTGCACTTCTCATCATGCTCTATTTGATCTCACTAGCATGTGGATGGAACTTCACCAAGATGCTTTGCTCCTTCTATAAATACAGAGTGAAATAAACCCAGGACTTCACGTATCTA